GGCTTGTGGAGAAAGAAAGCAAGAAGGAGCTGATTTTTAAACCCACAGAATGAAGAGAATTGGAAGAGAAGACTTGGATCTGGCATTGGGCCCTCTGTTTCAGACCCCTGTGAAAGGACCATCTCATATTCGCAAAACCCCGCCCGAATCCGTAGCACAAACGCGTCAGCTCCTGCCAAGCCACACAGGTCCAACCTAAGGCGCCATGTCGGCGCAACACTGATGCCTCGAATTGCAGATTCCATGTCACATAAACGCCTGGAATTGCGGAGCTAAGTGCGCTGACTTGAGCTGCCTAAGCCCTGTCTACGTGGCTTGTGGAGAAAGAAAGCAAGAAGGAGCTGATTTTTAAACCCACAGAATGAAAAGAATTGGAAGAGAAGAAAGAGACGCAAGAGAGAGAGGGAGCGAGAGAGAGAGAGATAATGCATGTGGCATTGGGCCCTGTGTCAGGACCTGTCTACCTGTTTCAGACCCCTGCAAAAGGACCATCTCAAATTCGCAACACCCTGCGCGAATCCCCAGCACCAGCGGTGCAGCGGCTCGCGGGCTGTGGAGGTAGTGTGAAACACCAATTGGGACATGGTGCAACACTGATGCCTGCAATCGCAGAACAATGCTTTCGTAATTCCATGCCACATAAACGCCCGGAATTGCGGAGCTAAGTGCGCTGAATTGAGCTGCCTTAGCCCTGTCTACGTGGCTCGTGGAGACAGAAAGCAAGAAGGACACGAATGCCCCTTGTCTCGGACGGGACTCCCAGATTTCCTTGAGTTCTTGAAACTCCTGGCGTCTGGGGACGGGACCCGTTTTTTAACAAATCTGAGAATGAAAAGAATTGGAAGAAAAGAAAGAGAAGCAAGGGAAAGCGAGAGAGAGAGAGAGAGAGAGACAATGCTTGGATCTGGCATTGGGCCCTGTGTCAGACCTGTTTCAGACCTGTTTCAGACCCCTGCGAAAGGACCATTTCATATTCGCAAAACCCCGCCCCGAATCCGTAGCACACACGCGTCAGCTCCTGCCAAGCCACACAGGTCCAACCTAAGGCGCCATGTCGGCGCAACACTGATGCCTCGAATTGCAGATTTCATGTTACATAAACGCCTGGAATTGCGGAGCTAAGTGCGCTGACTTGAGCTGCCTAAGCCCTGTCTACGTGGCTTGTGGAGAAAGAAAGCAAGAAGGAGCTGATTTTTAAACCCACAGAATGAAGAGAATTGGAAGAGAAGACTTGGATCTGGCATTGGGCCCTGTGTCAGACCTGTTTCAGACCTGTTTCAGACCCCTGCGAAAGGACCATCTCATATTCGCAAAACCCCGCCCGAATCTTAAGCACAAACGCGTCAGCTCCTGCCAAGCCACACTGGTCCAACCTAAGGCGCCATGTCGGCGCAACACTGATGCCTCGAATTGCAGATTCCATGTCACATAAACGCCTGGAATTGCGGAGCTAAGTGCGCTGACTTGAGCTGCCTAAGCCCTGTCTACGTGGCTTGTGGAGAAAGAAAGCAAGAAGGAGCTGATTTTTAAACCCACAGAATGAAAAGAATTGGAAGAGAAGAAAGAGACGCAAGAGAGAGAGGGAGCGAGAGAGAGAGATAATGCATGTGGCATTGGGCCCTGTGTCAGGACCTGTCTACCTGTTTCAGACCCCTGCAAAAGGACCATCTCAAACCGTAGCACACGCGCTGTCCCTTGCCAAGCCACACAGGTCAAACCTACGGCGCCATGTCGGCGCAACACTAGTGCTTCTAATTGCAGACCAACGCTTTCGTAGTTCCATGCAACATAAGCGCCTGGAATTGCGGAGTTAAGCGCGCTGAATTGAGCTGCCTAAGCCTTGTCTACATTGCTCGTGGAGAAAGAAAGCGAGAAAGACATGAATGCGCCTTGTCTCTGAATCCCCTGCTTTCTTGGGATGGGGCCTGTTTTTTCACAAATCCCAGAACAACCGACTGGTTGCGGAAGATGTATTTGGCAACAAACAGCAAGCAAATTGACAAGGCGGGCCGGGCCAGAGGCAGGCTTTCAATACGTAACGCAAAATACCTATCTAAATCGGGTATTTAAGTTGGTCGGCCGGGCTGGCGGTAACGCTGGCGGAGGTAGTGTAAAATCTTTGTTGACCTATTTAAGTGTCCGGCTGTTTAAGTGGCGACACCGTATCTTGAGGGTGCAGTGAACTGAACAATTGCAAGGGTGTTTTGCCCTCATAGAATTTGAGGTACCGGTTGGGATGGATTTGAAGCTCGAGCTAATGTTGACTGTCCACAGAGCAGACAAGTATGCAGTTCCCTATAGCTGTGGCTCTTCGCATGCTCACATGGAACCCGGGGGCCTGCTAGAAACCCTCTCGGTTCCTTGTCGGGTGGAGATCTGCTTACAGCCCCCTCAAAGTTCTCAAGATGGAATCCCTAAAGCTGGGGTCATGTTCTCGACTGCTTCTGGGGGTTGAAAGTCAGAACATGGGGTGGTTTCCCTTTGACCTATCACTTGGGGGGTGACTTTGAGCGTGGTATGCGAACGGGGCCAGTTCCACAGCTGTTTGTCTCCGGCTGTGCTGGGGCCTGTTCCGCGTTTGCCTTTGTGAAGCTTGATTTTTCTCCCACGAATGTGGTAACTTCGTGCTGTAACCCAACGCAAAACCTTAGGCTGAGACAATGTTTCGCCCCATATGCGTTTTGTTTTGCAGCTGCACGCCTACACCCTATCCCATTCAGCCTGGATGCGTCAGGTTGCCTAGCTGCTTCTCAGCCAATGAGGAAATGCCCCCAAGAGAAGCCATCCCTCATGGCTTCCTTGAAGGGGATCAAACGGTTCACGCTTCATTCCCACTACCCGGACTCGGTGACCCCCTGCTCAGCAGGCAAGGTGGACACCACCAACGTGAAGCCGCCGGAGGTGCCGGATCGGTTTTACGGATGGGCGATCGTGGCAAAAAGGATCCGGGGATGAAACGAGCTGGAACCGAGAGAAAGGTCCCTCACTGAAAGATGCCGTGGGTGTTGGAAGGTGCCCAACCCCATGTGCACACCATGAGGGTAATTAATTTCATGGCTTTCCAGGTCAAGTCAGGCTCGTTTCGGCAGCCCTCTCCGAGGTTCATTTGAACCTGGAGGGCGTATGTGTCCAGCCTGGCACAAGGAGCACCAGGGTTGTGGTGGATGTGAAGTCTCGTTCCAGACCGGCAGAAGCGATTCCTGATCCTGCTGGGGAGCCGCCCTTTGCGCTTTGCGCATCCCATGGGACATGGGAGCATAGCGTGGGCCGATACTGACTGCATCGAGGTGGTCGGGTTTGTTGGTGAAAGGGCATGAGGAACGCGCGAGAACGCGCGCACTGTGGTTTTCTTCTCCCAAGAGAAGACAAGGCCACTTCGGATCACTTGGGTTTGTTCTACCATCTCGCAGTTCTCGACCCAGCGGCTCATGCTTTGCCCTTCACCCCCGACCAAAACAAACATGCACAACAAAGCGGAAACACATCGCATAGTGCCGCGAGCCTGGGTGGGTGCCCCCTCCATTTCGACCAGGTGCTGGCTGTGGTCATGTCCAATCTGGACGGTTTCCTGAGGCTTCTGAATGACAAGGCCGGTCTGCTTTGGGAGAAGCAAAAAGAACACAACCGATCGACCTGGCCCATTTGCTCATGCGATTTGTGTTTTTAAAGGTTCGCCCTGGTTGGCTTCAAAAAAGGGGGATCTAGCATCACGACTGGATATGTTTGCTCATTTTTCCAATTGGTTGCTCAAGCCAACGGAGGTGACCCATGATTGAGACAGCTGGATTCGGGGATCTGGACATGGCGCGACTTGCAGTTCTTCAGTTGCAGCTTCGGAATGTTGTGCTTAGTGGACTTGCTCAGCATCCAATCCTCATGCCGGAGTGTACCGGTGTCCATCGGTTTCCCTTCTTGTGGCGCCCTGCGCATTTGGGATCTTCGGATTTGAAGGCCCCCATTTGAAGATGAACGCGGTAGGCCAAGGCCTTGCCCCCTTTCGGTTTGGCATGGCTGTTGGGGGAAGCGGAGGTTTGTTTGGCTGCGTCTTGGTAGCCCATGAGAAAATCGAAGACTCCCAGGGGACATGGGCCCCCTGAGTCGTCGGTGATGCGGTTCTTGGGAGCCCTTGTGCGGCACCTGCCCGGAGGTGCGCGATTGGGAAAGCGCTGGGGGCCCCAAAGCCGGAGGTGTGTTGAGATGTGCTTGCCGCACGTCTCACTTGCCCAAGGTGAAGCGACGGAATCTGAGGTTTTGGTGCTCTGGCTGTGGCCCATGCAGCCATGGTCACCGAGGTCTCAAAAGGTTAAGCCTTTGATCCCAGGCCCTTTGGCCAAAGGAGCCTATCCATCGCCCCTGAGTGTACGGAAAGATGGCGGGTTGAGGGAACTCTTCCCCATACAACTTTCCTTTGTGGGAAGTGCTGTGAGGCCAGGGCAAGTATGTTTTTGAGGCCATCACTTTGCTTGTAGCGCATTGGCGCTTCAATTGCGCACTCGCATCTCCAGGTGTTTAAGGCTCGATCATTTTGCATTTGTATTCCTTGCAGGATGCACCAATCGCCACCTTTAAACCGGCGAGGACAGCCCAGTTTAAGGGGACCCATTCTTTTTTGACAAGACCTCAGTGAGGCGACCCTGTTCTTCATTGACAGCTCCGCTGCCGCACAGCCAGTGCTTCTTCCAGAGGCTGGGAAACCCACAGATTGGCTGTGTCTTCGTGGCTGCGCTCGGTTGTGTGTCTTGTCTTTGTGCGCGTGTGTTTTTTCGGGGGGGGGGGGACCCTTGTCAGAATGGTTGAAAGGGAAGCCCAAAGGAAACTGCACCCTCGAGTGGCTTTTCCATTTGTAGCTGGTGTGAGCCATTCTGTTTACCAAGGGGAAAAGCCACCCTTGGAAGTGCCGGAGGAACTCGCGCATTTTGGGGCTACGCCCGCTGCCCGTTCTCAGAGCTGAGCCTTGCCTGACTTGCCGGCCGCATCGCGCGGAAGACAGCGCTTCAGCGATGTATCGCCGTGCCTTCCGTGGCTTCCAGCAGGCAACGCAAGGGGATCTTCAGTGTTCTTGGCAAGTTCGTTGTTTTTTTGTGTTGTTCTTTCCTGTTCTAGACCCCAAAAAACAAGGAAACATGTAAATATGTCCAATCAAGCTCCGTTGAACAAATGCCAGCTTTTCCTTGACGAGCACCTCACATGCGTTTTGCCTCCAGCCTCGTTTTAGACACGGCTGAGCCAATTACAGGGGGCACATCCCCGGGTTAACCCCAACAGGTTCGGGTTCAACCTCGTCCGCGAATGCCTATAGTTAAAACACTGAACAGCACAAACAACTCTCCTTCTTTTGCAGCCCCCTGCTAAAAAGAACAGAGCCCAAACAACAGGGAAGACTTGCCAGGTCTGTTCATGTCAGTGGTTTGCAGGGCCTTGACTTGGGGCGCGACCTAGAAGAAAGTCGATGCACAAAAGCGATGCCTGCATTCATGATTGAAGAAGACGCAGAGGTTGACCTGAACACAACACGTAAGCTCTAGGTCAGCCAGAGGCATCCAGATAGGTCAAGCGTTGTGACGTCGTGTCCACTTGCTTCATTTGCGACCAAATGGGTTGAAGGATTCCCTCTCAAATGCGGGGGGTCAGTATTGTCTGGACCCTCGAGTATTGCCCAGAGACCCCTTTTTCCCGGCAGCTGCAGGGTCCAGTCACTCCGTGTGCGCCTGCCCCGCCTGAAAGGCCCGCGCTGTGGCCACGCGCGTGACGCAGGAGCGCCGCGCGCCCTTGGCGCCCCTGGCGCTGGTGGCAGGTGCTGGGGCCTCGGCTTTGTGGCTCAGCCAGGCGCGGCTGGAGCGAGGTGCTTGGGACACTGGCCATGGTGAAGCGCACTCCCTGAGTTCCGTTTCGGACTTTGCACTTTTTTTGAAGCCATGTTCGTCGCAAACAAGCAGTTCAGACTTTTTTGGGCCACTCCGCTCAGGAAGTGAGCAAAGAACGGCATTCTGGGAACCTTCAGCCCTTGTATGTACGGCTTAAGTAGCAATATGCTCGGGTTACCTGGCGATTCCCAAGAAAGCTTCTCTTCAGAGGTGTCGTTTTGGTGTGTGTAGATTTGCTGTTAGATCGTATCAACATGACTTGATTTGACACATTCCCGTGGCAGTCAAAAAGGAATCGGGGATCGTTTCAGGGCACCTTTGCAGAACACGGGGCCCATGATATGGACGACTTTGAGACCTGGCCGCGGGGCCCTTGAACCAGCGAGGGTCACCGGGCCTGGGGGCGACGCTCAGCGCAGGAGCGGCAGAAAGCCAGCCACTGCGGCTTCTTCAGCCCCAGCAAGGTGCGACCAGCTACGTCCTCCGTTTCCACTTTGCACGCAAATGCCCAAGCATATAAAGATATACAACATATTAAAGCATTATTTTCTTGTGCGTACTATGACATACCTGTAATCCAGTGTATATGTACATCACACACATGTTTGTCACCATGCTTCAGCGCCCCAGCTGCTGGACCAGGAGATGGCGCGGCGAGATATATATATATATATATATGTGTATTTATACACGTATACATGCACACACACACACACACACATATATATATATATATATATATGGTCACCCCCCCCATGATCCACATTTTGCCTCTTGCAAGCAAAAAAACACTGGAAAAAACACATGTAAAATGCTTGTTTTTGACCACCTGTTCCAGGATCAGATTCTGATCCTGGAAACTTGGGTCAAAAACAAGCATCATTCTTGATGAGTAGATTAGTCAAAGATTGCGACATTCTTGATGGACAGATGTTAAGCAACTTGAAGCAGATGCTTACAGATGGTTTGTGTGGACAGCCTTCTGGAAAAAAGTTAGCAGGGAGCAGATGGAACTTATGGAAGCAGCATGCAGAAAGTGCTGTACTGTCCCTAAAATCCAGGCTTTGGAGGCTGAAAGTGCTGTACTGTCCCTAAAAAACCTAAAGCACCATTCAGAAACAGTCTTGAGCACACAAACCTCCTTCTGGCAAGGAATTTTTGGTTTTTAGGGACAGTGCAGCACTTTTTTGTTTTTTATGGACAGTACAGCACTTTTTTTGGTTTTTTAGGGACAGTGCAGCACTTTTTTTGGTTTTTTAGAACAGTACAGCACCTTTTTTTGGTTTTTTAGGGACAGTACAGCACTTTTTTGGTTTTTTTAGGGACAGTACAGCACTTTTGAGCATCAGCATGCAGAAAGTGCTGTACTGTCCCTAAAATCCAGGCTTTGGAGGCTGAAAGTGCTGTACTGTCCCTAAAAAACCTAAAAAACAATTCCAAAAACAGTCTTGGGCACACAAGCCGCCTTCTGGCAAGGAATTTTTGATTTTTTAAGGACAGTACAGCGCTTTTTTTTCTGATGCTCAAAAGTGCTGTACTGTCCCTAAAAAACAAAAAAAGTGCTGTACTGTCCCTAAAAAACCAAAAAATCATTGCCAGAAGGAGGTTTGTGTGCTCAAGACTGTTTTTGCAAAAGTGCTGTACTGTCCCTAAAAAACCAAAAAAGTGCTGTACTGTCCCTAAAAAACCAAAAAATCATTGCCAGAAGGAGGTTTGTGTGCTCAAGACTGTTTTTGGAATGTTTTTTTAGGTTTTTTAGGGACCGTACAGCACTTTCAGCCTCCAAAGCCTAAAAAATCCTTGCCAGAAGGAGGTTTGTGTGCCCAAGACTGTTTTTGGAATTGTTTTTTTAGGACTTTCAGCCTCCAAAGCCTGGATTTTAGGGACAGTACAGCACTTTCTGCATGCTGATGCTCAAAAGTGCTGTACTGTCCCTAAAAAACCAAAAAAAGTGCTGTACTGTCCCTAAAAAACCAAAATTTCTTGCCAGAAGGAGGTTTGTGTGCTCAAGACTGTTTCTGGAATGGTGTTTTAGGTTTTTTAGGGACAGTACAGCACTTTCTGCCTCCGATTTTAGGGACAGTACAGCACTTTTAAGCATGCAGAAAGTGCTGTCTTCATGCCGTCGGTGTGGGCGATGGCTTCCTCCAATGTGCAGTTGCCGTCCAGGTTTGCGTTGTCGAAGGAACGAGCCAGCGACTCAGCACGTTCAGGAGGCACAGATGCCATGATTGGAGCAGAAGGGAGTATCAGGAAGTTACCTCAAATTGAAATGGCTGCAGCAGAGTACACGGAAATTTGATGAGCTTGAGATGCAAGCAGTATGTTAATAGCCTCCATTGGGAGTTGGGCTAATAGTACTTCAGCCATTAGTTACACACTGCGGGGTCAAACTAAGGAGCCAGAGCTGAGACCACACACTGCAGCCATACCAAATGTGGATCATGGGGTTGGAATATCAGAAAGTTGCCCAGCTTTGCAATGGATGCAGTATAGCACAAGGAAACTTAATGAGCTTGATATGCAAGCAGACTCAGGCGTACATGGTCAGCAGGCTTTTTTTCCTTGCGGCTTGGAAAACTGAGAGAGTAAAAGCAGTCCTAAGGACTGTCCCATAAAAAACTATGGCAAATGCCTCTCACTCATAATCAAGCCAAGTTCATTCTCTTGGAGGACGGTCTCCTCGCTCGCGCTGATCTTGAAGTGCAAGCCTTCGAAGCTGAACACTTCCGATCCTTAGATGGGCAAGAGCAGAAATGACAGCAGAAGGACCCCATAAGAAACTGCAGTTTTCGACTCGATGAAATCGGCCAAGTAGCCACATGGTAGATAACCTACTTTTGTAGGCCATCTGGATGGAGCGATAGGGCTCCGCGTGGCGCTCGTTGCCATGGCTGTTATTATTTTAACAGCCTCCATTGGGAGACGGGCTAAGAGTACTTCAGCCATTCAAATTAAGGAGCCAAAGCTGAGACCATACACTGCAGCAATGCCAAATGTGGATCATGGGGGGGGGGGGGGTGAGCATATATATATATATACTTTGGTGCACTTTGCTTGGATGTTAGAACTTTAACTGTTTGCCAACTAATGGGGTTTCCATTAAACGACTAAACGCTACACTTTTAGCGGGGGAGCAGAAAGCAACCGAGTATATATATATATATATATATGCACATATCTTTTGGGCCTGCGGCCTCTAGGTGGCTAAGCCTCTTTGAAAAAGGCCTTTGCGTTGAGCCCATGCCATTGGCAACCCTATTGCGTGCGTCATGGCATCTTCAATGGTTGGGGGGATGTAGCGCCTGTTTAAAGTTGACGTATGCTCCGCAGCCCCAGCCCTATTCTCAGCCGCCCTATTGGCAGCAAGCACAATATGCACCACCCCAAAGCCAACCACTTGGCCTTAGGTGTTTTACGAGGACGGCAATCCACCGAGATTCTGGGAAGACAGAGGATCCCACTCGAAGACAGTTGGAATCACGGAGGTGAGGCCATCAAGATCGTGTTTCAAAGGGCATGGGTTGTGTTACCCTTAACCCTTACCCCGCTAGGCGGAAAAGCGTTGGCTGCTTGAATTCCCCGATGAGCCCACATGCCCTAACCCTCATGACAGCAGCCCAAAGGCCAAGGCAAAGACAGCGGAGTGGCAAGGGAGGATGCCCACGCAAAAAGCTAGATGAGACAATGTTGAGACACAGATGCGAATAGAAAAAGACCGGTCTTGGGACCGGTCCTGGGAATCATGTTTTTGTGCATTCGGCTGTGTCCTGCAGGGGCTTGCATGCATACTCTGCATGATCACATCCATCTTGTGCATTTAAATAAATATACATATATATATGTATATATTTATTGGTACCTATATAGTTGCATCATGTCTAACTACATGCATGGATGGTTCAACGCCTTCATGTCTGTGTGCACGCGTGCGTGCGCGCGTGCGTGCGTTCTTGCGTGCGTGCACGCCTAGTTTTGCACAACAGTCATGGATTCGTATTGACCCTCCCATTGCCAGTGTTTCCGAGCAACGCTTCTGATCAGGCAACCCCTAGTTATTTGTTTAGATTGGTGGCTTGCTTGTTCCAACCCTTCAAGCTCTTGTAGAGGGTAAATGGGACGCCACCCAACCCCACCCAACCCCGATTCGGCAAGAGCTGATGACCCGAAGTCCGCGGCCAGGGCAACTTCAAGGTCTGCGTCTGCGGAGGTTCCGGTGGCATCGGCCAGCCCTTGTCGCTGCTCATGGCGCTGGACGACAACGTGGGGGAGCTTTCCGCGCCTCGGTTGGACGTCCGGGAGTCGTGGGGCTTTGGAACTCTGCAGGGTACCCATTTTGGGGTTGGCTTAACAGGAAACCAAAGAAAATCCGCCAGGTTGGTTGGTTAAGTGAGAGGAGGAAATGTTGGAAACCCCGTTGAACCTGTACACCTGCACAGCTTGGTGGAAGTAGATGGCATCTCCACATTTTGGTTTATTCATCCAAGTCGCAGATTTGTGCAGCAAAATTTATGGAACTATTGGGAAATGGCAGTCAGAGGGAATTTGAGTCACTTTTGGGGGTAACACACCGCAGCCCGCCAAATTCTGCCAGGTTCTGCTTCAATCCAAGGTGGCATTACGTGGATGTTCAACCAATTTAGTACATGGCTCATGGCTCATGACCAGAACAATATCTCTGCACCTTATTCCTTAGTGTGAAAGTTGTGAAAGTGGCAGATTTCCCCCTTGCAATATTTGGGTTTGGTCATGCCCCTGATATGCCCCCTTTTTGGGCACCGTGCCTGGCTGCACGTTGAGGTCTATGACCTGAACATCGCCATGGTGCCCCCGGCCGGCGTGGCAGCGGACCTGGGGCATCTGGAGAGCAAGGTGCAGGTCCGGGGCTACGCGCGCCTCGCGGGAACAAGTTGTTTGGGTCCAGTAGTGCCCGTCTCTACCGTTTCTTTTTTTGGGGGAGATTCGGTTCCCCTACTAAAATAGACCGCAGAAAAAAGGGTACCCTTATTCTAACCTCTCTACTGGAGGACCTAGTTGTTGGGGTTTCAGATGATTGAACCATCACATGGAAGCACCCAGAAGGCCTTTGTACATGGAACCAAGTTTTGCAAAGGGGTCCTGGGAGCTTCCATGTTAGGGTAACCCAGGGCCCTCGCTCGATTTGTTCAATCAACCCAAAAAGGACACCTATGCTCCAGGCCATAATTATGGATCGGTGTTTATATGGACGAAACAGATGAAACCCCACCTCAATGATGTCCCAAGGCATTTGTCCCAAAATTTCAACTCACACCCACAGCCCAGCTGATATCCCCAGCAACCCCGAAACCCTTCGCGGACCCGAGCCGCCCAAAGCCGCTCGCTCGCCACTCCGGACCATGGGCAGAGACGGTGGGGATGTTGAAAACATCACTCACGCAAATGAATTGGCAACCAAAAGATGGCAGGCAAGACAAAAAGAAAAGCCCGGATTCTGCGGGGCTGGTTCAAAGGGCAGCCCCAGACAAAAGCACATTTAATGAACGGGAAACCGGAAGAACCGAAATCTATGAGGGTCGATCCCGCCTTCAGCGGGCTGAAAGCTTACGTTGGTTTTCGAGTGACCCTTCAGGAAAGCCTCCAGTAGGAACGAAAGCAGGGGAAAAGTTCAATAGGTTACTGGGAACAGAAAGGCAGAAACTGGGCACACCTTTTGGGACTTTGAGGAACAACAGTCAGGTCAAAGGCTGTGGACCTGGACCTTCCAAGAGTCCGTCGTGTGGGTTTTGACAAACGCCACAGCTGGCCCTGGCCGCCCTGGCCCTGCAATTTGTACCAGGGAGTTAGTTTTTAATGTGGCCCAGGTTGGACCCTCAAGCTACCCAAGTAAGCTACCCACAACACTGCAAAAACGAATCGCCAAAGTATGAGTACCAGCACCCTCCAAGGGTCCACTTGCACCTGCAGTGCTCTGGTGCGAGCCCCCCCCCCATTTTAAGGTAAGCCTTATTGTAATCGGTGGTGCGGATTGGCTTGGGGACTTGAACCCCTCATTCTTGCCGGCCAAGCCACGAATCAGGAAAGCTTCATATTCACAAGGCCCAAAGGTTCAGGTCCCCAAACAGATTCAAGCCATCAATGTGAGGTATTACCTGGTATTTAGTGCAACATATGTTTTTGTTTCTTCTTCTTTTTCCCGGAATGTCGCCCTTTCTAGACCCAAGGAAGGGACTGGAGGAGAAGGCCGTCGACGCGCTTGGGGACTGCCTGCAGGGCTGCGACCTGGTGCTGGTACCCGCAGGTGGACGGTGCACCTCTGTTTTTTGGAGGGTACCCTCTTGTTAAGGGAAACCGGCAGGAAACTAGACATTTTTGGGCCCGACACCTGCCCTGGTGAGCACTTGGGGGCTGTTTCTGCAGAGCTTCCTCAAGCTCCCCCAGCCTTCAGGGTAACGACGGATGGCCATCATGGTGCGTCTTCTTTGGCGGGTGCCCCTTTTTGGTGGCTTTAAGCGGGCACCAAGGGACACCCACACATGGGGCCCTTAAATTTTAAGACACACCCATGTGTGTAGCCTACCCTTGTCACCCCGGGCAACATTGGTTTACCTTCCACACGCGTTTTTCCCGAAGAGCCCGTGCAACCTCAAGGAAGGGATTCCTTCGATGCCTATGATGCCTCGCAAAACGAGACCTGGAAACGAGGCAAACCCAAAATCATCTAAGAAAACAAACAGCAACAAAAACAAGGAGAGAGGTCAAAGGACCATGTCTAAGCTCGACTTTTGGTTTTACATCTTTGAAGGCAGACCAGGCCCTGGAGCCATGCAGCCCTGGAGGTATGCCCCGGAAGCCCGGCCAGACCAGGGACGACCTCTTCAAGATCAATGCAAACATCGCCAAGGAGGCATAGCAAGGGAGCCCGAACACGTGAACCATGGGGTAGACATTGGAACCGCAGATGGCATTGTATCATGAGACTCGTAAAATCGGTGGGTTAGATGGAACAAAAAAGGATGCGAACCAGTTCCCAAGCCTTGGAGGAGTTTTTTCACAGGGGATTGTTTAAGCAATGCTTGTTCTTTAGAGCTTCATTTCACTTCTCTGGAGGTTCTTTAGGGCTTCATTTCACTTCTCTGGAGGTTCATGTTGCGTTCCTGCCTCCATAGGTGTGGAGGTGTGTTTTGCGAAGGGCCCCAACGAAGCCAACGATCGGGGTCCAAATCCTCATTTTGAGACAAACCTATACTCCTTCATGAGAGCAAGCTTGGAATCAGGGCCACTCTGACCGGGCTTGGATGGAAGGAACCTCGTACCAAACATGATCACCCCATTTGGGGTTGGTTTGTGTTAGTTTCACCCCCTTTTGGGTTCCGTTCCATGTCACTGCTTTCCTTATGTGTTTGCCACCTTTCCTCGGTTTTCACTTGTCTATACTTAATGTATTCTTTCTGGACACAATGTATTTGTTGACCTCCGTGTTCGGTTTCCCCGTCATTTGTAGCCGCGTCAGCTACACCCATTTTAGTATCCACCCCAATACTTGCATCTTTTTGGGTGCTATGTGTGTATGTGTCAAAGTCAGGCACCCCTCAAATGATGGTTTTTAAACCCGCACACACACACACATACACATCAATGTTTGCTTAGGCAACCCTCAATCGTTGGTTTGGCCTGGCTTGAGTCCCTTGCAGAGTAAAATTGATAGTAAATGGGACCCCCCCACGACTTATATGGTTTCCTTTGAGAGAGAACTCCCAAAGCGTTCATTCCCACCCGGACTCCTCGTCCCCACCCACCCCTGCGCCCGAAAATCGGACCTTTCCGAAGCCCGGCCCGAAGCACCGCCCACCGCGCCGCGTGAAGCAGGTGGTGGAGGCCTGCGCCAAGTACTGCCCCAACGCGGTGGTGGCGCTGATCGTGAACCCCGTGAACTCGGTGGTGCCCGCCATGGCGGAGCTCTACAAGAAGAAGGGCCCATCGGATGCGTGAGGAAAACCCATGGTGTTGTTTCTGTTTTCTGTTCTTTTCTTTTTGTGGGGGGGGGGGTTGGATACAAGGCAGGGGTCTCCAGCAATATATGGTGTAGAAATATATATATATATATATATATGTATATATAGATATGTGTGTGTGTTAGATTTTGGGATAGGCCAAAAAGGGAACAGAATCGGACAAGCTGGGGCAAGCATCCGAGGGAGGGGGCCAAAGAAGACGTAGCAGTGGAAGGGACAAGGGCCCTGAAATGGTGTTTTTTTTTTTTCCAGGGGCCTTTTGTCAGCAAATTGGGTCTAGGGGCTTGCGGGCTCCAACAAACAGGTCGCGAACAAGCCAGGATCCCCCCATGATGAGAAACAGGAAGCCAATAGGAAACAAAACACATCTTTTGAACATCACGGGGTTGTTTGAACCTGAGATTCCTTTTGGTGGGGTGACGTTTAGAAGGGGAAATGTACGTAAGCCGCAACCATGCTTCCCAGACCCGACCACTTACTTCTGGGGGAAGCAGTGGCCCTCTAGTAAGCCAAAACCACCTATTGTGCAGTAGCCCAATATCCAAATAGGACATCCAGTCAAAAGGCAGCGGTAGCGGATGGCAAAATGACCGCTGTCTACCCTGTTCTCCTTGGCAGCTTTGGGGTGGGCAGCATAGGTTTCTGAGAGGAACCAGCCTTTGGCAGCAGTGGCGGTGGGCAAGTGGAAGAAGAGGAACTTGTGGATGATTGAAGTGTGAAAGCAGTGCCGTTTTTTTCAAACCGTTCTTTGGGCCGCAAACCGCACGCTTGGACCTGCAAAGGCCATCTTCATTTTTGGAGAGCTGTCGGCCTTTCGAATTTCCAACTTCCATCTCAACCTGCAGGGTTCCAAACAAACCATTTTGCTCAGCACCTTGGGAGGCGCCTTGGGAGGATTCCTCACAAAAAGCAAGGCCAAGGGAACATATCGGGAACATTTTGTCCAGGGAAAATCAGGGGAAAGATGACCCACTCATCTCAATTTCTCTCGTACCTCTGGGTCTCTGAACAGGGCCCCTTGCAATTGTTAAACAGTCCCAATCAGGCTCCGAAAAGCATGCATTTGGGCTAGTTGGTCCACCACTCTCTACCAGCTGATTCACAGGATCTTCATGTAAATCAGGTTTTTGCATATGTATCTTTCAAGTACCCCTGAGCAGGGTACCAACTCATGACTGAGCTGCGCGAACATCTCTGTCCGAGGCCTCGATCCCAAGAAGATTGTGGGGGTCACGACGCTGGACGGTGTGCGGGCCAACAAGTTCGTGGCGGAGATTGCCAAGGCCGGGTTCCGGGGCATCTCTCAATCCTGAGACGTTGACTACTTTTGGGGAAATGAGCGGGTTTTTCCATTGAACCCGCAAAAAGTTGTTTTTCTTTTCTTTGTTTTTGCAGAGGGGTCAACAGCAACCTGAAAGTGATAATTGGGGGTTTTGGGGGTGGTGGCTTCAGCTGGGGAACTGGGGACACTTATTCGGCGATGAAGTTGCACAGCGGTTCAAGCGTTGATGGACCTAAATCCCTACCCACATGATGTCCACCAAAGGGTCCCCAATGAACAAGTCAGAACCGACCATCATACACATCCAGAACGATCATGGGTCTTGATTCAGATGAGTGTGAGGGCAGGCGCGGTGTCGCGCCGACGTGGTGCCAAGGAGCACCCGAACAACGTCAATGTGCCCGTGCCTGGCAGGCAGTGAAGTGTGAGGGGCTGTCGGAGTGGAAATCCTCTCGTCGCATGCATACCTTGTGGTAAAAGCACATGCTCAGACCCGTGGGTGATCCATCCCTTCCCCCACTACCCCCATGTTGGGTCCTGGTTTAGGCGTCGACTCCTGAAAACCCCGTGGCCCCCTCGATGCTTCCCGAAGCTGAGGTCATCGGTGGCCACGCGGGCGTCACCATTTTGCCGCTCTTCTCCCAGGACAAGCACGCGGCCAAGATCCCGCAGGCGGAGATCCCGGCCCTGGACAAGCACGTGCAGGATGCAGGCCGCAACGCATGGAAAATTCATCCTGCCACGTTTGGTGATACAGCCGTCGAAAGCGAACTGACCTTCTCGCCTTTTGGGTTTCCCTGTTTGGTTCATCAAGGGCGCAAAAGGTTGACCATCCCCACGCCCAGATAGATAAAGGCCAGTTGCCACAGGAAGCGTAAGTAACACACACACACAGAAACACACATTCTCAGGCGGTTTGCTCCCGAGGAGAGATCACGGAACACCTGAAAAATGAACGTTCCAATTTCCAAAGAGGGATTTCTCCACCCACAATCTGCCCACCACTAGAAGCAGCCAAGCCCAACAAGAGTTCCCGTTTTCCTAGGGTCACTGGGCATCACTGGGCTGGGAACATGTCAACTGCGCTCGCCGCCGGGTTTTGCCCTCGGCCAAGCTTCGCAGGCACTGACGTGGTGAATGCCAAGAATGGCAAGGCCGGGCTGGATGTGCGGCTCTGGTTGGCGTTGATTGGGTTGGTTTAGAGTTCTCGAGCTTCCCTGAAAGCCGGGTTTTCCGGGGAAGCCACGCACCAGCCGGGAGAAAAAAAGCAAATGACAAAAAGCACGCGTGACATGTGGGGCAATGATGGGCAAGGATGGAAGGCGCAGGCGAATCCAGATTTCAACCAAAGTCACGCACCCAAGGAGCATCAGCGCCGAAACTCATGGCCCCCAGCCTCACGACCGCGCAACCTGCGCCCCGATGAATCTGCACAACCCCCCCCTCCCACCAAAACTCTGGCTAAGTCCCCATGGCGGTTGGTGGGAGAAAGGCCCAAACAGGCCCCCCCCCCGCAACACACCGTCTTGAAGAGGGCGCGGAAGTGTGTTTGCTGGGGTGGTACTGGCTCCATGATTTTGCAACTGCCAAAGTCGCCAAGTCGAAGACGTGGCCACAGTGGCATAGGCAGTTTCAAAGAATCGAAGGGCACTTGCAAAGGGACCTGAAAGGGGGGTCCCTGGACTGTTGATGGGTCAAAAGTCATTTGCAAATCCAACCACCATTAAATCAATCGGAGTTTACATATCCACCTTTGTTTACCTGCCCCTTGTCAGCCAAATTGGATTTACCACAATTAGGTTGCGGGTAGCCTGGGAACCACACACCACCAGAAAAGCAAGCGTGTGTGTGTGTGTGTGTGTGCGTTTTATCTTGCTGGTGCTCAGTAGGGAATGAGGGAAAGAACCTGGGTGTCCCCTTGAAGGAAACCACGAGTTGGATGGTTTTCCTTGGGGTCATTCCATTCTTCATTCCCTGCATCTCTCGCACCGATCGCAAGTTACTCTTGAGGGTAAACCTGAAGTCCAAGGGTGGCTTTTCCATCTGTACCTGCAGTGCTGAATGTGTGAGCCATTTTGGGTACAAATGGGTGTGTCTTTTTTTTGGTGGCACCCCTTGTTGGGTGGGTTTAAAGGGAAACCAACATTTTGGAACACCATTTTTGTTTGGGGGGGGGGGCGCAAAAAAAGGGTTGACATGCACCATTCTTTTCAACCATCGTTGTTTTCAAAACCTGCCGTTTTCCCTGGGCTTCTGGGGGTTTTCTGGAAAGAAGGATCCCTGGAAAGAATGGGGGAGATACCCCTAGAACCCTTCAAGAGTGCTGGTGTTCGGCTTCGCCTGCACGCCTCGACGCCTCGAGGGCAGCGCCACGTTGTCCATGGCCTACGCGGGGGCGCGCCTGGGCAAGGCGGTGCTGGCGGGCCTTGCGGGCACACCCACCACGGAGTGCGCCTATGCCCGGGCCCGAGGAAAGCGCGGGGGGAGGGGGGGGGAGAGGGGGCTGGGGCCAGCCAAGGCGTTTTTTTTTTTCCTCCCCGAATGGCGTCCCTTGAAATAAGGCAAAATGAACAGGGCATACCCTCAATTTAAGAAGAAGACCTGCTTGTGTCTTTCATCGGATGCGATGACACATGTGGATTTTTAAACTTGCTGAAAACCCTTTTCTGGAAATCGGCCTGGGTCCCCCGGAGCCCTATCCGCAATCGGTTCAGACAACTCCGAGAGCCTTGCCCAACTCTCCGAAACGTCCGGAGCCTTTCGCGACCGAATCTAACTAGGGCTCCCATGGAGGCCCCCGCAACCTTCGGAACCTTCTGGAACCCCCTGTCCAGCCTTGCTCCACGAAATCCCCACAACCCTCCGGAACTCTCCGGAACTTGACCTGGGCGACTGCGTAGCTTTCAGCACCCATTTCTGTTTTTTCCCCGCGCCTGGAAACACGGGGCCCCTCTTCCAAGCTTTTTTCCATGGGTGGACTTTTCAAGGGTCTTAGCTCAACTAGATATGCGCTCTGGAAGCGGTAACCGCTTGGTGCGTGATGGAGCGGCGAGGAAGACGCTTGTCCCGCTGAATACATCCCGGAGTCAGTTGCTGTCAGCATGGACTTCTTGGTTCAACATACTGTTCATCCACTGAAGCTTCTCGAGATTCTTTCAAGACTCCCAACGCCACGTTGTTTGTTCCCCGCGAAGCCAGCAAATGGATGGAGTGTTTTGCCTTGTTGAGCCGTTTGGTAGGGGCTGACATGCGAACAACTTTCAATGCCGACACAGCTAGTCCACACTATGTCTACACTTGCCCTCCCGAGCACGAGAATGTCAAGCCCCCGGCAAGCCTGTGGAATTCGGCCAAAAGCATGGCCATGACCCAGGTGGCTTCGGATGTTGAGAAGGACTTCCCTTACTTTACCAGCAAGGTGGGCTGAGGGCGTCCAAGATGCGAAAAAAACCGCGCGGCCATGCGGACGGGAGGCTTCAGTGGGCGGAAAGCTGGGCCAAGCTCCGGCCCTCCGGCCGGCCTTGCGGAGGAGTCCACCTTAGATGGCGGGTAAGATAAGGAGATGAGAGTTGTGTTGGCGGTTCATGTGCAGATGATCCACTGATGCAGCTCCCGCGCGTGCTCAACCAAACATGGATTGCAAGCTATATCTGCAGGGCGTGGGCTCCAATTTGGCTGCTGATTCCTGACACTCGAATGCATAGACTCACGTAGGCCCGCCTAACCTGGGCCTCACAAATTTTGGGGCATCTTAGGCACGGCCAATGCCCACGCCTGGCAGGTGACTTTTGGCAAGACTGGGGTGGAGAAGGTGCATGGCATTGGAAGCCTCAGCCCTTACGAGGCAGGGAGGCATGCGATTTCATGCGCCACCGTAAGTTTCTGGTGCTTACATGGCCGAAGAATGTTGAGCCCAGATTGATAAGCCCCTGGTTGATTAATTGGGGTCAGGACGGGGGGAGTTGCTACTCCAGGTTCCTTTCAGCCAAAAACGAGTGACTTGGTGCTGTCACTTGTGGCACATGCCAGTCGAGTTTGTTCCTTGCATTTATTTCATGTGTCATTGTCATTTTAATGTTTGGTTCCCAAGATGCACAAACCGCAAGGGTAAGGCCAATTTGAAAACCAAAGACATGACAATGGAGTGGTTCTTCTTCTTCCTTCCTCCTCCTCCTCAGCCTCCTTCCTCTTCTTCGTCTTCTTCTTCTTTGGCTCCCTTCAAAGCCACGCAAAAGGGGGGCTCTATACCCTCAGCGGAACGCCCACCTTGCCGGATTTCTGCGCCGCGCTTTCGAGGCGAAGCGTTTGGAGGAGGCCAAGGCAGCACTGAAGAAGGAGATCCAGTCCGGCCTGGACTACGCGGCAGCCAACAGCCTGGCATAGGGCCTCTCATAGGAGGGGGTCCCTCAATTTCCATTTTTTGGACCTCCATCAACAGTGGCATGTGTTACTGGCAGCCAGTGACTGTCTCAATGACTCAAGCTTGGATTTTCGCGACCCAGCGGCTCGCATACCCAAACATTTGTTTGTGGGAGTGGCCCATGAGGGTGCTACATGTTTTCCGTGTAGGTTGAACCTTTCAAATGTTGTTCCAGTGGGCCGCAATTTTCGGAGGTGAACATGTGGAAATTGAGGAGCCCATTTCGCAGGTACTCGCTCTTTAAGCGTGTTGATTAGCTTTTGACCGCTTGGTGTCAGCCAAGGGGGCCAGCAACTCTTGGACTTGGGGCTGTTGCTCCGGGTTTTACGGGCCAATGGCCGATATGTTTCGATATATTTGAGAAATGCCCTGGCAATGGCCGGCTCACCCAGGAAACCCACTGGATTGCTGCAAGCGGGCAGCGAGGGAAAGGTGAGGTGGGCGGCTGTTGAAGGATGCAATTTCATCGATTGGCGCGGAGAGGACCAAATGGCGCGCTGCGTTCAGGGTTGCGCCCCCTTCGTTTTCCCCCCCCCCCCGATTGGCTTCCGGTGAATGTCTAGTTCAGTGAGATTTGAAAAGCCGGGCCCGAAAACAGAGTTCAGACCGCCACTGCTCACCTGGCAACTCATCAACGAGCCCGAGGGCCCCTTGGAATTGGAACTGTTGGGATTGAACAGGTTGGCAGACTGTAGCGCTGCCTCCCTCAAAGTGACCATTGTGAGGCTTCTCAAAAGTCTGGCGGATGTAGGGTCATGGTAGTTTTGTGGCATTCTTTAAAACACACACATTTTTTGTGGGATCCACAGCGGAGGGTACGGTATGTACGGTGACACCAGCTTTTCGGCAGGGTGCTCTTTCCCTAGGCTCAGATTCTGACTTTTTGCTAGGATGGCGGCCTTGGATCTTGGGGCTTGCAATGAACTTGCGATTTGGTCATTAAAGTTGCGAGCTGCGACTACCTAGGTGAGGATGCATGTGCTGCCCAAAGGAAACCTGCGTGGATTCATTCCCGGGTTCCACGCCCCACATTCTGGAGGTCCATTCGGAAGCTCCCACCACCGTTCAGAGGGTAATTTTGAGGGTGTCACATTCAGAGCTACTCGTTAGGGAGCTACCAGAATTGTTCTAAGAACCCTTCGTGGGGCTTCAATGAGCCTAAACCCTAAACCCTAAACCCTAAACCCCAGGGTCGAGTGAGCCATCCGGCCTCGCCCTAGCCGCGGTCTGCTTCAGGCACACGTGGCTTACGGCGCTTTGCCGTCGGCGGCAGCTGGCTCGGGGGCTTCCTTCGGCTTGGCAACTGGGGAGACCTTTTGGGTCCGGGTACTGTAGCCGGTAAACTTCACCTCGGTTTTTTGTTTGTTTCTCCCCCCTTTTTGTTCCTCTTTTTTTTTTGCGGGATCTTTCATGAGCGAAAGGAATGGACTTTGTTCAACATGTTTTATCCCAGTTAAGAGATGTGCGCAGAGAGGGGTGAATTATCCTGCAACAGGCAGGGCTACAGTTTGCTGCAGGGTAAAGTGATGGGTATAAGGCGCAATACATCATCGATCTTACCGGTTTTTCTCCCCATTTTCCATGAGCAAGCTCATGAATTGGCAGCAGTTCGCTCAATGACCGTCGTGGGCGTGTCTGGCGTTTCAACATGAGCTCGGTCACCCGGGCTTTAGTAAAATGATTCCCAGGCCCCTGCCATGGCTTCCAGCTGACGTCACTTCACGGCCGGGTGCTGGAAGAGTTCCTAGTTTCCCTTCTTTTTTGGAAAGCCGCTGGTGGAATAGTTACGCGTTTCCCCTTCTGTTTTCTTGGAAACGCAACGGGGCGGTGCTGGAGTTCTTCCCCTTGTCCTGTCGGGAAAAGCAAAATCCAACGGGGCGGACTGAGGCCGGGGCCGACCGACCGCCCGCGTTCCGTCGTTCGGCTTGGCTCGTCCAAGGCCACCAAGCCGAGCGAGGAGCTGGTGCTGGGCGGGGACGGCAAGAACGACGCCGGGACGCCGGAAGTTTGGGCGGGGCTTGGCGGGGCTTTTGGTTGGCACCTGGACCCTCCCGGGGCTTTTTCGGGGCTATATTACCTTGGTTGCTTTGAGGGTCCGTGTGTTTTTTTGTGGTTTGTTGGTTGTATGTTTTTGGGAAGGGGTACCTTTTTTTCTCCGGTGCGGCTGAAAGGGGAACCAATAGGACGCCAACCATGTTTGACAAACTCATTTGAGCCTGGCGAGGGCTGCGGTTCCGACGTGTGGGCACGGATCAAGTTCAGCAAGTTTGTCTAGCCCATTCCCCCAACACCTTAAGGGGATGTACACGTCACTTTTTGCAGGCCTGTTTTTGGCACTCAGTTTTGCAACCACCTTGACGGGCAATGAGTCTGTTCAGTCGATTCCGCCCTGCCTGGTTCGGGGTCCTTTGCTTTTGTCCCACGCGGAACAAATCCCATGGGATAGAACCGGACCGTCACTCAGGCTCGGCTTTCCGTCACGGAAAGCCAGGCCACCTGAGTCGGCGTGCCTGAGGTGGTGGTGAAGTCTACCAAAAGCGATGGCCCCGCCAAGGTGCCACAAACGGGGCGGGCGCGGGGGCAGCTAACATCCAAGTGGGTGAGACAACTATTGCGGGCACGAGCTGTTTTCAGGTGGTCAAAATCCGGTCATTGTGTTTCCGGATGTTTTTGGGTTGGGGATTTGTTGTAAGTCACCCCATATCTAATGGTATCAGGCCTTGTGGATGCAGGTTGCACCCTGACCTAGAGCTCAACATCTCAAGGATTTGTTGCGGGAAAGAGCCCACGGAACAATACATTTGGGGTGGCTTTTGCTTGCGTTGTGCGTCTTGGCGCCCCCGCAAGTCTCTGGACAATTTATAGCCAGTTCACCGACGCGCTTGCCTATGATGGTCGCCAGCGTTCCCTGATTTCCAGTTTGCAATAATTTGGTGCCGATGGCGCGCTCTTTTGGGTTTTGAAGTGAACTATACTGGGTGTGTCCCGGGGAACCTTAACCTGGTTGGCTTCCTGTTGGTCTCCCTTTAACCCACCCTGAAGGCCCCCCCCCCCCCCCCCCAGGCCTTCTTTGCGCGCGGCCCCTTGCCTGATTTGGCTTGCCGGAGCTCTCGAACATTTGCCGTGGCACTGCTTTCCTGCACACGCACGCGCTGGCTTCTTTACGTGCGGGCACTGAGAAGACCGCGGCTGCAAACTTCTTTTGGTCACAGGTCTCAGCGCCGAGCCTCCACGAGAGAAATCCTTAGATGCTTTTGGCTGGAAAGGGATTACCCTCCCACCCGTTTCACATGGAACCTGACGTTTTGGTGTCCCTTTAAAAGGAAAATTGTCCAAACCAGGACCCCTCTGTCAGGTTCCATGTTGATTGGTGGAAGGTTAGGTAAATGCCCGGTCCTTCACCTGTGCCCATGTTCGTGATTCTGTCACGTCTCGGTTCTTTCATGCACTCTTTCTGAGCTTTTGCTTTGATTAGATTGTCTGGTTGAGGCACCCGCCTCCCGGCCACTGCTTTGGACCGTGATCATGTTATAATGGAAGCTTAAGCCTTGCTTCCAACGGGTGCTGCACGCGTGACTCTACGTGGCGACACCGTGAGGGAATCGATTTCTTAAGCTGGATTCTAAGGGCTCCACCACAACCCCCTTAGCGGTAGGTGCTGCTGCTATACATACCCCATACCCACGTTGCCAAAACAATAGATGATGACTGTGTAAGGGAGAATAAGACTAAGATAACATCTTGCACCACATCCTGAGGTAGGCGCTAGGAGAAAACAACCCTTGCTGCCAGGCGGCGGGAGTGCGGCCGGGCTGGGCCGTTGATTGGCGCGGGGCTCGTTTGAGGATGGGTGTGGTTCAGCATGATGCATTGAGTGATCCTGCTTTAGCAAATTAGTGGGCTGGGCCGGCTGGAATTGGCGTTGGTTTTTTGGGCTTGTTGTTGGGTTCGGATGGATTGCGAAGAATTCTTTGCAGGCCCCCCCCCCGACCTCCACCCCGGCAGGGTTCGATTTCCCCTGGTTCCCCCCACATGTTTATCCAAGATCGGATCTTCCTGACTCATTTAAGGTCGCTATTCAAAAACATCTTGGCAACCACTGGGTCGTACATGTCGTTAGGTAGGCTAGTTGTTCACCTACCTCTCAAGAAACTAGCACGGAACCCGCCAGAAAAATGGGCCCTATAAAAAGGGAAGTTGTTCAGGTGGCATTTTGCGGGATGGAATAGATGGAAGGTTTCCCCATGGGTGAGTCCAAGGCACTTGAAAGGAAGCAGGTTTTAGGGTTTGGTGGCGTCTTCCTTGCTGCAATTGCATGACGAGCCACGAATTGTTCCTTTGATTCTGTTGGTCCTCGCTGGGAATGCCAAGTCGAGGGGTCGGCACGGCCGTGTTTGCCTCATGGGCGCACCCCAAAAAAAGGCAGCATGATATGCAGCCCGGTTTCCGCCCAACCCCCAAACGGTACCCTCAACAACAGACATGCCCGAGTGCAAACATATTGCCTCATATTGCCATGAATGCCATCCAGATCTTGAGGCCAAAGGTTACCCTCTCACCAGCAAATATGGAAGCTGATGGGTGAGAGTGTGGTGTACAATTGGTCGGCCTAATTTACACTGGCAGGGTATAGATCGTCTCATCTTTCAAGAGCCGATGCACTCGTACTTTTCGATCGAACCCGAACATGCCAATTCAACATACCCCATGAGAGGCTGCACTCTTGCCGGAATTAAGGGTGTGTTGCCTGTGTATTCCCCAAACATTGCAGGTGCACCAGCTGCACCAACAACCAAATCGGGAAACGACGCACACCTTCCTTGCAGTCTCCATTTTTTAACGAGTAGGTTGAGGGTCCAGGTTCCTTTTTTTTTTTTCTTTCGCTCGGGTCACCGACCTGGACCTTTCCTCCGGGTTTCCGGGGCTTGCGAGGCCCAGCACGCTGGAGCTGAATCCTGCAGCCGGACCGCCGAGAGAAACCGATCGATATGTGAGGAACCGCTGGGAATCGGGAACTGCAAGCGCAACTCCGAAGAAAATACCATGGGTATGGGTCAAAATGAAACCACCAGGAAATGGACCGCAGGGTTTGGTCCATGTTTCCATTTACCAGGGTTGCATTTTGAGTACATATTTTTGACCCACAGCCACATGTTGAGGACCCAAGGGTTTGCCAACTGGCTTGTTGAGTGGCGCGGGGTCAGGCATGCATTGGACAGCATGCGCAGCTACCGCATGACCAGGCCCTGGAAAAGAACTCCTTTGGTTCTGAAACCCCTTGCGGCATGCAGCAGCTTTTTTGGAGGTTTGATAGGATCTTGTTGCGCCACATGTGGGATTTTCCGAAAGGGGACCTCTTCTGGAAGCTATGGACGGGCACCAACAGGAAATCAACCACCTGGACTGGTACATAATTTGGAGAAACGCCCTTGTTGGGGGCCGTTTTGCATCCAAACTCTTCCGCAGCAGCGCTTGGATTGGTGCCATTATGTGAATCATGTGTGGCATCTTTTTGGCATGTCCCAGCACCCTGGCACGTGTGGTTCAGTTCTTCATGTTGTTTCTTGAACTGTCACCTTTCACACTAGCGCATAGTTAAGAGAAAACATGGAGAGAGAAGGAAGGGGGCGAGAAACAGAGAGAGAGACAGAGAGAGAGGCAGATAGAGAGAGAGAGAGAGATGCGCCGAGGGGAACGCTGCGTTATGTGATCAGCACCGCTTCCCATAACCTGGATGCCGTTTCCTCAGGTCAAGCTGCCCAGCAAGGAGGACGCGGCTTTTCAGCGCCATATCTGGTGGCTTCCCGATAATTTCGTTTTAGATCGTTAGCTCCTCCCCTTAGGTCTTTCCCGATAGTTCAGTGATGTTCAATGAGTGTGTTGATTTTAAACACCAAATCGGAGCCTTTGAACATGAGTTTCCTTTTGGCGTGATTTTAGGGTACGTAAGGGACCCTATGCCTGATGGCCTTGGGTTGGGCCGTGCGTGACAGAAAGCCACGAAGCTTCCGAAACTTTGGTCTGTGAACCGTGCTGAACCATGCATAAATAAGCAGCCCCCCCTGGTAGTGTTGCAACCCTTTTCAAGGGAGGCTGTTCATTTCAGTGGAACAGGCAAACCCTGGTTGAGCCATGTCTGGCGGCCATGTCTGGCGACATTCGATGGGGTGTGCCCGGCAAGGAGTTCATGCAGGATCCGAACCAGGCGATTGATCAGCCGGAAGCTCAGTGTCTCGAGCTGATCGAGGGGATCTCGGTGTCAGCTTAGTTCGGGGTGGTGCTTGGGGCCCCGACGGCCGTCGGGGCCGGCTGAATTAAAACAGCGGTCTTCGCCACCAGCTCCCAGACTTACAAAAGTGGTGAGAGTGCCACACATGCCCGAAATGACACAAGCTTATCAGTTTGGTTGGCGAACATATCGGCTCGCCGCACATGCTCGCGGGTATTTTTTGCATGGCACGCAGTCGCAGGTTGAGCAATTGGATGCTAGCCGTGTATGCTTAGCTGAGATTGCAAGCTTGATCGGGAAAGCTCGCTTGGATACCCTGGCTTGGATCCTTTTGAAGAGGGTTCCTTGATTTGGACAACTCGATATCAGCATTCATCCAACATGTAGAAAGTATGTGTGTTGCGCATGGCCGCTCGCGTTGATCAACGGAACCAGCATGCTCAAACCGAAACCAAGATGATGCCGAAACCGAGCTCTCCCAAGTTCACAAAGCCAGTAAAGCTCTTTGGGCTCATAGATCGCCCATCATTTCCATGGTATTTGTCTGCTTCTTCCCCCTCCCCCTCTACTTACTCAGTTGCCCAAAGCGAATCGACCTTCTGACCAATTGGTTTTCCTAATTTGGTCCAGGTTGAGCCAAGGTTCCCAAAGGTTCACCTTTCATTTCTGGGTCCTTTGGGCAAGTGAGTACCTTATGTGTTCCCCCCGGCCCCCCCTTTGAAACTAATATGGGCATGTGTTTTTGTTGGAGGTTCCCCTTTGGGCAAGTGAGCTTCTGGGTGCATTTGGGACATGGGGTCGGCCTTGCCGCGAGTCGCGAGTCGCGCGTCGCGAGCTCGCGAGGCCCGGGCTGCGCCTCGCCTTCCGGAACTTGTACCCGGCGCGGGGCTGAGCTTTGGCCCTTTGGACCGGCCTTCGGGGCTTCGGGGCTTCGGGGCCTTTGGGCTGTGAGCATCTCCCGGGGTCCCAAGTGCCACTTGTGTCCTGATCCGCTTGGAGCTGGAGACAGGTGGATGCGAAGCGTGGGGAATCAAATGGAGGAGTCAAGTAGATGCATGTCTCTTTTATCATGGGCACTGCCAAAATGAGGCCTTTTTCATTTGGTTTCCCTTGAGAAGTCCAAACAAAAGGAGCACCTGGACCCAGGGATGCCATCCTTTAGTATTTGAAGGGATGCCATCTTGTTCTCCTGTGGCGCCATCCCAATTTAACAGGGCAGTTTGAGGGAGGCGTCACCAAGTCGCCGGTGACGCCACCCGGGGCGAACCAGCCGTCGAGGTGAAGTCTCGACAGACCCAGTGCTACGGCGCCGCGGGCTCCAAGAAGTGGCGAAGCCCGGGGCCTAAACCCGCGAACAGTGCGTCCTTTTTATTATTATTTTTATTCATATATATATATATATATATGTGTGTGTGTACTACTACTGCTACTACTACTACTACTGCTGCTGCTGCTACTGCTACTACTACCACTACTACTACTACTACTACTACTACTACTACTACCACCAATAATTGTAATAATAATAGTAATAACAATAGTAATGACAATATTAATGTGTGTGTATATATATATATATATATTTGGGGGGGAAACCCCCAAGACGTTTTTCCTTTTGTCTTCCCCGGCAAAAGAGGGTTCCCCGAAAAAGGCACACCCATATTGTTCCTTGAAAGTGAGTTTCCTCTTGGCGTAGATGTCAAGGGCAAAA